TTATTGTAGCTGCAGTCCAAAGGTTTCATAAGGCTACTTAGATAGACTAGGAGGAAACTTGATGTAGCATGTGATGATGGAATTTATGAGAGCTTATTAATCCTTTCCAGTTATTAGCCAGGCTGTTCTTTAGTTGCCAAAACAAGAGGAGATTTCATGAGTTTGTTTAGTCATTTTCTTTCTGCTTCCAAGACCTTTTATAACATTGCCCTTATCTAATCATATAGGCTGTTTCCTTTTCTAACAGAGATGCCAGCTTTGGCTTTCCTCTTGCCAACATTCTCCCACAGACATCTCAGTGTGACCTATTGCATCCAATAGGTTCCCTCCTCTAGTTACTCATTAAACTGCTTTCCTGGTTAGCCTTTCCTGGTTTTATTTGCTGGAGTTTCTTCAGACCTGCTTTTAATTGTGATTGGATTTGGCAAGAAACCTCACAAATGTCACTGAAAAAAGGGGGAATCAATAATTTTCCAGGTTTTCAAAAGCTTCCTTCCTGTTAACTTGGAAATGATTTCATCATCAGAGTAGCTTTTTTGCATGCAGACATGCTTTAAGTAGGAATTTCCCAGGAAGCGTTCTTGAAGAATTCATCTGCTCTTTTTACCTTTGTAGCATATGTAGATCCAGATGCAGTAAAGTTACTGAGGAGAATGTGGATGAGAAATTAGTATACCTGCCTTTTAAGGGTACAGTACATTGTGGGCATTAAAGTGAATGAACGTGTTTTAACCCTGTCCCTTTGTGTGTTTGGCTGATTGCAGAGCAAGGAACATTTGAACCTTGGGATCCTAGGGACAAGAGGAAGCTAAGTAAAGTTAATACAGGGTGGAAGACAATCACATCTAGAGATGAAAGATTGGGAGCTCACACTCCTCAATAGGCTTCCCAATTCACAGGCACTCATTGTGTCCACAGTTAGAAAGGCAAGCGTGATAGATTTGTGAACAAGAGCTGTCAAAAATCCATTAACAACTTTCAAGAACACATACCACAGCTGAATATGGGTCACTAACAGCAAACATTGCAAGAGAGGAGAGAAAAGCACATTTTAATTCCACAGGCAGAGGGTTGCATCAAAGTTTTTGCAATTCATGCAGTCATCTGGATAATTATGGAAAACATTCCACTCAAGTTCCCTATTTGATCTCATGTCTTATTAAAATCAAGGTTAATGAGAATGGGGGGAAAGAAAACTAAATTCAAAAGATAAAGAAACGTATACACCCTTTTAATTAGTACCTCATAGCCCTTCTTTGGCAGAAGAAACTGCTTCCAATTACCGTATTTGCTGTAGGCCAGCTGGCTGGAGAATTCTGGGAGTTGAAGTCCACAAGTCTTAAAGTTGCCAAGTTTGGAGACCTGCTATAGGCAGCTAGATATCTTTTTTTCCCTTACTTTTTGTGTACTTTCTTAGATAATTCTTCTAGTTCAAATATATTTTGAGGAGTCTTTGCGTGCACTTCCTGTTTGAGATCTTCCCACATTTTTTACAGTAAGGGTACCGTTCAAGAGACTTTCTCTCTTGTAATTGCTTCATGATTGATTTAGGAAACTATTTTGGACTGTTGTCTTGCTAATATTTCCAAGCTCTTTTCAGTTTCAATTTCTTCACTGACTATGGAACATTAGTTTCTTGGAAATGTTGAGATTTAGTAGAATCCCTCCTTCCTTCCACCCACACAATACTTCCTGTGCTACTGGATGCCATATAACCGTCTTGCTCAATGGCTGGCAAATGTCCTTTTCTTCAAATTCCTCACACATTTTTCTTCAAATGTTTCTCATGCAGCACTTAAAGAAGTCAACGTTGGTTTTTATCAGTCTAAAGCACCTTGTTCCAAAGGGTTTCAGCTTTCAGGCTTATCAAAGTTTTTTGGATGATGTGTTTGCATCACTGAAACAATGACCTGTGATGAGATTAGAGAAAATATTTCTTTCTGATAACTCTCTGATGAAGATTATTGCTGTATAATCAGTACTGCATAGAAAACTTTTGGGCAACTACTTCAGTGTCAGTTAAACATTTCGGCAAGTCTTTTGCAGTGATTGTCAGCTCTACCTTGCAGATCAATGTCCCATAACCAGCAAACAAATGAAGTTTTTTTTAAAAGGTTGGATATTTCCAAGACCTATCAATATTTATCAGCTAGTAGAGTTCCACAAGGAAGAGTATGGGAAAATTCATAAACAAGAACTAAAAGCGCAGTCTTTTGGTGGCTATAGGAAATATTGGAAGCTGTTGTTTCTACTAAAACAGGTATTGACTGAAAAGATGCACGGCTTTTTGGTCTGCCATATTCACTGGTTTTGTTTTTTAATTTTGACTATGTAAATAACTGTCCATAAATTATAAGGTCATCCACTCACATGTTCAGAAGGATGTTGCATTTAATTTTTTACCATGTAGTAGTAGTTGTCAATTTCTGTTCACTTCAGGAGTCCTAAACTTTTATATACAGTTGTGAAAAGACTGGAAGAAGAGCAAAGCTTTGTGTATTTAACAGGTTTCCTAAAGAAGGGATTTCCAACCCCCGACCAACACCGGTCTGTGGCATGCCAGCAATCAGGCCGCCCTTTCCTGGGGGTTTGGCCGGCAGCATGCAAAATCATGCCTCCTCCAGTCCATGGAAAACCTCTCTCCATGGAACCGGTCCCTGGTGCCCCAAAGGTTGGGGGGCACTGTTCTAAAGCATGATTATTCTGCAACATAATAGGACAGCCCCTGACAGCCCAAATCCATATTATATTCCTATCTCTAACAAATAAAAATTGTCCTATGATGAGACAATCTGGGATGTATTTTCATGTCTTGCACAGTTACAAATACAAGGATACATAATTTGGCAATGTAATATGCTTCAGGGAAGTGGGCTTGGAAAACTGAATTCAGGAATATGATTTTCTCTTCTAATATTCTGCCATTAGGAATCCTTTGTAAAAATTTTCACTGGCTCTTTCAGACCTTTCAATATAATTCCCTCCATGTAAACAAATAAAAAACTTCATATTGTCTGAATATTAAGCCGTAGATAGTTTATTCGTGGTTGGCTTGACTGGTCCATAGTTGGTTGCATTCACATGTCATGCCAAGCTATAAAACATGATTTATAAGCCTTAATGGATAGTAATAAAAAAAAAACTCATCATGACCCAGTATATAAACTAAATCCCAAACCAATCTTGTATGTGATGCAGATCAATAGATAATCATTCTAACTGCAAGCAAGCAAACAAACAAACAAATTTAACCAGTGTCTTCTGTTCTTGCATTAAATCTAAAAAGACCTTTCATCGGGTTGGCCTCTATTCTAGTTTTAAATTAATATGCACCTGTTTTTACAACAATCCTATTAATTTGGTATCAGGATTTTAGAGGAGGATAAAAAAAGCATAATAAACTTGAAGTGATACCACAATATATCTGCTCATAATAAGTATTTAGAGGTGTCACCCATGGCTTAAAGGAAATCGTTTAGAGAACAATTATGTTTCAAAAGAGAATCATTCTCGTAAAGAATTTAAATTTAAATCAAGATTTTTTTAAGCGTGCCAGAGCTATAATTACAATGCCTGCAGTGATTCCTGCTCTATTGAGAAGGGTCATTTCATCACAAAATTGCCTTGGAAAATTTGAATAATGTGAGCCTGAAATTTGCTTCAGCTTTTTCACGGGATGGAGATATCCCCATGCCCTATGAAAAAGCTGGATTTTCTTAAGCAATTTAAGAGGGGATAAAGGCACTATTCTCAATTTAAAATTATCTCTTTGTGCCCTTGAGACGCAAACTCAAACACCTTCCCTGCAGTCTCTCAGCCTTCTTTCAATTGCCTGCGCAGCCAGAAGAATCTCCCTAGGTTTTTCTCTCCATCTCTTTCTCTTTTTTTTTTTAAAAAAATAACTTTTTGGCTCATTATAAATTAAGTAGTAAACTCTGGAGGCATCCTCCAACAAAGGTTTCTATCCCCTCAAATTTAGTGAAGCATTTGCTGTCTGAGGTATTTGTTTTTAGACTTTGCAGAAAAAATTGACAGCTGAATGCAGAGCAGTTGCATATTTGTCATAAAATCCAAAGACACCCCATAGACAGGTCTATATTTTTATCATGTTAACCCAACTGGGGTACATTCAGAGGTTCCGTCAAATTAGGGATAGAAAATAATTATTTATAGCATCATTCTCAGTAATGTAGCACACAACTATACATATTAAGGGCTGATCAGAGCCAGCAACTGTTTCTCTTTAGTCCTTATAATGCAGTCTACCTCATAATGAGAGAGGTCTGCAGTGTCTCAGAATGTAGAAGCAGAAAAGGGAAAATATTGTGAGGGGTCCTTGGTGCGCTCTGAGCTTGGTTGTTTTCTTGCAGATGTTTAATTCCCCAAACTAGGTAACATCAATGCTACTACTGATAATGTTACCTAGTTTGGGTAATTAAACATCTGCAAGAAAACAACCAAGCTCAAGGACCCCTCATTTCAACCCGAAACTACAAATATTCTTCTTTATTGGAAAATACAATATCTGTCTACAGAATCTTAAAACAAATTCATCTTTTTCTGGGATCTCTTGACTGCTCCAAAATCCTAGGAAAAGGCACAATTGCTTTTAGGAGCTGCTGACAGATACTCCGCTCCATCATAAAATTGCCTTGGAAAATTTCAATAATAAATAATTAATTAATAAGTAAATAATAAAAGCACTTTCAAAACCAAAGCACTGGATATTCCATATTCCCTTAGGCAGCTGGCAAACAGGTTATGGTCATTTTAATCACAGATCACTGGAGTTTTTAAAGCAATCTATTTAACTAAATGTTCTGTTTTGTTTTTCCTTTGTTACATATGGTACCAAAGGCAGATGGGAAGTTTTTAAATATACTCTGCATGTTCTACATTGATAGAATACATTCATCATCTGATTCCCTAACTGATGCTGGCTTGTGGAAATTTGTATATCATCTGTCTCTCTCTCTCTGTCTCCTTTCTTTTTCCAACAGGAGTAACCAAGGGTTTATGCACATGAAGTTGGTAAAGACCAAAGAGAAGTATATTTTGGGTCAGAACAGCCCTCCCTTTGACAGCGTGCCTGAGGTGATTCACTACTACACTGCAAAGAAACTGCCTGTCAAAGGAGCTGAACATTTGTCACTCCTGTACCCTGTAGCTGTCCGGACCTTATAATTGTTCTACACACGCTCCTTCCTGTGGATTGGAGATGAAGGCTGCAGCAGCAGAAGGATCCTTGCATCAGCAATCGCGCAGCATTTCTTGGAAACAGAGGGCCCCTTTGGGTCTTTCCAGAAACAGACTGTTGTATAGTAGTATGAGTGGAATTGTTGCACTACTTTGCATGTCCTGTGTGGAAACGTTGGCTTCTATTTATATGAGAGAAAATGGATTCAGACGTTAGAAGAAATTGCATCTCCCCCCCCCCCCCCAGGAATCCCACCCTCCCACGCTCCCAGGAATGGAAATCTTGCCAAACCCAAAGAAAGCTCTGGAAAACTTTCTGCCTGTGGCCCACAACGTGTTCCCACCCTGGCTCTTTGGGGGGTGGGGGGGGCGGGGGGGGAGAATAAATTCAGACCGAATCTGCAAATGGGTCCATTCCCTTCTGGGAGCGGAGTGGAAGGAGAAAAGAAAACTGGCTTTGCTACACACTCCAGACTTGGGAATTACATATATTACACACTCAACCCCAGATTTGTGTTATTGTTTTTATGCGCAAATTAACCCAAAATGAAGACCCTCTCCCCCTTTTTTGTCTTAATGAGGATGTCGTTTTAAAGATCTCAATGAGTAATTTTGCAATGGCAGAAAGTGTTTGGTTATTTATGAATAGGGTATGTACTTAAATAGTGGTTTAATATATATATACATATATAAATATATTTTTATTCCCTTCTCCTTTTGCGGGGGGGGGGAGGGGTACAACAATAAAGCTCTAAGGGTTTTTTGTGCCGATTCCTAATTTAAAGGCGATGACTCAGTTCTGTTTTTTTGTTGTGTACGTACAATGTAGGTGGTGATGGTTCATTGATTTCCCAAGGAAGGTCAGGGTGGCGAGGGTTGATGTTTACATGACCATATTTCAGACCTAATGACCCTTCCACAGGCAGGCTTCCTCAAGTTGATAATGGCATCCGTGTAAAGAGTGGCCCCACCTCAGGGATATGGGGAAAACCCATGGATAACTTTCTGTTGTTGTTTCTCAAAATTACTAATGCATAACAAAATGTCAATCAGACCTACTTTGTCCTTCCCTCCCCCCAAAAAAACATTTTGTCATGCACAAGAAGTAGGGGTGGTTTCTATACTCCATACATCCTGTCATTTTCTTCATAACCATTTGGAATAATTGCTTCCAAAGCTCTCATATCCTTCACACTGTCACTGTGCTTGGCTTCTACCTCATTTATAACGTATAGGCCCATCTCTCTTCTTCTGCCAGGTCTGGCATGTATTTTTCCCCCTCATAAAATCCAATTTAATTGGCAGCCTCTTGTGTGCTTCTTCTTTCTTATACTAATGGAGATACATCTTACAGAACCAGTTTTTCCTTTTAAAACATCCAATAAACTGGATTTAAGATAGGAAGAAGCACATCATACTGAGGGTCAGGTGTTCAACCAGCCGCAATTTACTAAATTTGTTAAAATACCCAGCCCCAATCTTCCATATGACTCTTTTTTATAGCACTACCTATTTCTACATTGGTGATCTGAGTCAATATTCAAATTTGCAGTTTTCACTGTCTCTCTGTTGCAATAAGACTGTAAAATTAACATTTTAACTACACTGCCTTCAAAAAATACAATTCCTTTTCATATGCTGGTTTAGAAGTATAATGGAATAATTGTTACTCCAGTGACTGTGTAAAATACTGGTTTGTTGTACTATACAATGTGAAGAAAAAAGTCCTCAGATGATCTGGTTTATAAATAGTATCTTTGTTGCCTGATTCATTTTCATCCCATATAGACCATTTTTGGTATAGTATGAATGACAGAAGTCTGATTTACCTGTTTGAGAACAAAGAAATAAATCTCTGTAAAATGCGTGTTGAATTGGCTGCCACTAATGTAAAAGAATGCTCAAAATAATTTTGCATGCCAAGTGTCCCTGTTGCTATTCGTTTTTTAACAGATACTGTGGGATTTTTCTCCCTTTAATGAAGTAAAAAAACATTTTAAACAAAACAAAACAAAATCAAAACACTTGAGTTCCTTTTTTATTTTCTTCTCAAGTTTTCTCCATTGAATGCATCTTTGCTTCTCCCAACTTCCAGAATACCCAAAGTTATTTAAATAACGGTCTACAATTTAATCTTTGTTAGCTTCCTATGTGAAAACATGTAAATAGTTACAGCAGAATTCATTCACTTAAGGTGCGTTCAGCCATTGTTGGAAACATTTTTGTAACCACTTTTAATTTGTTATGGAATGCAGACCAAATTTTGTAAAGATTCTGAAGAGCAGTTTGATCTAGTGGTTAGGGCACAAGGCTAGAAATCATGAGAGGTGACTTTGAGTCTCCTCTTAGACATGAAAGCCAACAATGACTTTGGGCCAGTCCCAAAGTCAGCCCCACTCATGTCACAGATTGGTGGGTGTGGGGAAACTAAGAGGACAGAGTAGTAGGTATGTTTGCTGCCTTGAGTTCTTTATTTAAAAAAAACAGGATTTTCTTTAAAATCTAATAAATAAAAACTTGGTGCCTACATACCACAGTTTGCCAGCATACTTAATTGTTTTAAGGGCTGATTGTTCCTGGACCTCTCAAATATCAGAAAGAATCAAACAAGCTTTTACCTGCCAGTAAGGTGAGAGCACTCTGGTGTCCCAATAAAGGAGATTATTTGTAGCTCAAGATTGAAATGAGAGGTCCTTGGTGCTCTGTGTGCTTGGTTGTTCTCTTGTAGAGGTTTCATTATTCAAACTAGATAACATCAGTGCTAGGTAACATCATTAGTACTAGCGCTGATGATGTTACCTAGTTTGGGTAATGAAACCTCTGCAAGAAAACAACCAAGTTCAGAGAACACCAAAGAGCCCTCACTCTGGTTTCCTTTTCCAGCCACAACAAAATAAATCATGGTATCCCTTTATTGAAGGCATCTCTATGCCGCAGCATGTAACATGCCTCCAACATGACTTCAGCTTCAACCACTATTCCGGAAAGCCATTTAGAAATTCTTGTAGAGGGATTTGGAATTCAGTGTGCGCTAACTCTTGATACCAGAAGGGGGAGGGAAACTTATTTATTTTCAGACATTGAGTTACAAGGGATTTATTTCCGCTTTCTCATTTACTGGTTTCATTTAAGTCTTTTCTTTGCATAAAATTCATTTGCCACATCTGAATTTACCACTGCAGAAATTATTTTAGCCTAGCTACTAATTTCAGGAGAGCAAATTTCCAGTCCCTCTTGATTCTGAATTGTAATGGCATAGCTGTGCTAGCTGAATCGCAAAAATATTGAATTGGCCTGAAGACAGGAGGAATCTATCGGTTCTCCATAACTACTACTTCCATCATAGTACAAATTATCTCATCCTTCAATCTTCTATTTCAATTTTTATGGTACACTATCTTTGACTGTCTTTTTTCTTCTTCTGAGAAATTATGAACACCCGGAATTACTAGAAAAAGCAGATTCATCACATGTTTCTTGGAAGTCAATGCTGGTCACTTACAGGAGCTCAACCATACTGAGTTGCCTTCTTTAAAGAGAGAGACATTGAGATTCCCTCTTTTGAATGTGGAACTTTTGTCCAGTCTCGTTTCATCCCTATTTTGAATACCTTGTCAGTACTCTAGACCAGAGGTCCCCAAACTTGGTAACTTTAAGACTTGTGGACTTCAACTCCCAGAATTACTCAACCAGCATATGCTGGCTGAGGAATTCTGGGAGTTGAAGTCCACAAGTTGCCAAGTTTGGACACTTCTGCTCTAGACAATAGATATGAACCTGCATGTACTCAGCATTAACACAATTAAATTCTGCGCCCAATGAAGTTGATTTAGAAGAGTTCATGGAGCATATAAATTATGAACACACCTTTGAGTCCTCTCCTCAGTTTCAGGAAGAAACTGGCTTTGGAAGAGCCCAGGGCACAGTAAACTCTCTTTCATAAACACCAAGTACATCTCTAGCTTCAGATAAGCACAGCGCTATTATCACTACTCATCTAAGCATATATCTGCAGCATATACAGCAGGTAGATGTTGTACTCACTAGTTTGTCTTTCATCAGCCTGGGGCCCCAAACACACACTACCTTCTTCCGGCAGAGCAATAACATACCCACTTACCCACACTGTCACTTGTAACTCACATACAGAGGCAGCACCTTGCATATCTAAAACAACCAAACCTTAGCATAACTACAGGGGTGGGATTCTACCGGTTCGCACCTATTCGGTAGAACCAGTTGTTAACATTCTAAGCAGTTCGGAGAACCGGTTGGTAGAAGAAATTACTGGCCTAATCCTGTAAGGAAGGCAGAAAGGAAACATTCTGGTGTTGCTTACAGAAACTGTCTCTCCATTAACCTTTATTACATTCTTGGCAGGACTAGACTTCCTGTCTCAGGAACTTCTCTGGAGGTTTTTTTCCCCTCCTTTGCTGGTACTTTGCTTGTGTTGAAAGGCCATTCAAAGTTACAACGGCACTGAAAAAAGTGACTTATGACCATTTTTCACACTTATGACTGTTGCAGCATTCCCATAGTCATGAGAGGCCAGACAACGAGATGCGTGCCTCGATGTGAGTGATGTTGAGTTGGCCACGCCCAGCCAGTCACATGACCACCAAGCCATGTCCACCAACTAAGCCAAGCCCACAGAACCAGTTGTTAAAAAATTTGAATCCCACCCCTGCACAGCTAGTCAATGCTTGACTGGAAAGTTACCACAAAAGCCCAGGTTGTAGGTTCAAGAGTGACTATTAAGTCTCTGTAAATTCACCTGGAGTGAAACTTGACTCCAGTTTATATCTTTTCTCCAAGCTTTCACCCCAGGCATTCTAGAAGGAGCAGGCAGAGACAGCAGAATATGTTCCGTCTAATGAGGCAAGTTTACAACCACTAGTTATTTTCACGTCTCTTCTTCATGCCAGAGAGGCAACTTTTCCTTTCCTTATCCTTGACTGACCTCAGCAAGTTTCCTTCAACATGTTTACTTCTTGCTTGACCTACTGGTGAAAGATAACACACTGTCACATCATTCCCTAGGTTCTTGATGCCAGCAGTATCTCACACCCAGTCTGATCTGGTTTCTAATGGCCATGTCAATCACAGTGCACGAAACACTACATGGTAGTCTCAGCTTGTTAGAAATCATCACCTCTTATGGTCATTTTTCAGCAAGTCTGCATCAAACCAGATTTCTTTGGCCCATCCATGATCTGTCTTACTGTATGGGTAAGAGATTACACTCATTTCTATATTCGTCTTTGCTAATTTTGTATAGGACTTTACACTGGAAATAAGAAGACAGAGCATCTTTTAAAAGCATCTTCTCATGCCCAGCTGTTATGAAGGGTCATTTTCTTCTACCCA